TTTGGGGAATTCCCCCCAAAGGGTTGAAGAAAATTTGGGAAAAAAAAAGAAGGGGGGGGGGGGGGCGACACAAAATGAAAGAAAATAAAATAAGGCAACAGTTAGAAAGAGTCTGTATCAAAACCGGGGCTCCCTTAGGAGAAGGGCAGGAAGTCTCTCTCCTCCACCAAGCTGATGGAGAGGTTCTTCAGCTCCTCCTCGGAGCCAGCTGTTTTGTAGCCGAGCTGCGCCAGCACCTGCTGGCAGGCGTGCTGGGTGAACGCCACGATCTCGTAGGACAGCCGGAACCGCCACTTCTCCGCCGTCGCCGCTGAGTTGCGCACCGTCCCGTATTTGTGTTTGGAGGAGGACCTGTCTCCTCGGGTGTTGTTCTGTATCCAGCGCTCAACGTTGCTGTCCATGGGGATGCCCAGGAAATCGTAGATCTCCTCAGTCTTTTTCATGGGGTTCCTGGCCAGGTCTTCGTACCGCACCAGCATGTACTTGCCCTTGAGCCACGGCGGCCGGTTGAGGCCAGTGGACACGGAGTTCCAGAAGTCCTCGCACACCGTGGTGAGCTGGGTCACATCCAGGTTGTACGGCTTCCTGCCAGTGCCGTCCCAGATCCTCCACAGCCGGTAGGTGTCCCGGAAAGTCTCGCTCCGGGATGCCAGGATCCCCCGGGGGTCCCTCACCAGCTGGATGACCTTCAAGTTCAGCCGCGGGTCCTCCACCAGCGCCCGGAGGTCGCTGACCTCAGGCACCCGCACGGTTTTGATGGCCACGTGCCCGTGGTCTCTGCAGGACTCGGTGGCCAGCGTCAGGTTCAAGGTACCACACTTCTTCACGCAGTCTCCCTCCTCCAGGTGGAGATCGACAGCTCCCAGGGACTCGCAGACAGGTGGCGAGCACAGGGCCTTGCTGGCTCCCCTGCGGAAGAGGCGATCGGTGGTGTGGTTGACAGGCTGGGGTTTAATGTAGTTCTCCAAAAAGTAGAGGTCGCAGTCGTACAGGCTCCTCAGCAGGTCTCGGCTGGGCCCCCGCCTGACCCCCCTGTCCGTCGTACTCTTGCTCTGGGTCAGCTTTGGGATCAAGGTGTACTGGACGTGGTAGAGGGGCTCGAATAAATAGAAGACATCGAAGTGCTGGTTAAACAGCTGCCCGACAAACGAGGAGCCACTGCGGGTGGTGGCGAGGATGAGGACGTGCGTCTTCCTGGAGAGGTTATACCCGAAAGTGGGGCTCTCGTCACACAGCCTGTCGGCTGCATCCGTGTCCTGGCTCAGGCTGCAGTTCACGGGGTTGGGGATGGGGCAGCTGTGGAAGGACTTGGCGGTGAAGGTCCGGATTGCTGTGTACTGAATTGCAATGGATGCCAAGGCTAATAGGAGGACAGCCTTCCAGGAACATTGCATGGCTGGTCACCTTCATGGAGCTTCTTCAAAGGTTGTCTCAGTGTCTGCAACCCAACAGAGAAGTCACGGGTTGAGCAAGGACTGCCAAGGAGGGCCCAATTACCCTACTGCTGGGTGTACCAGCAAACGCCCTCCCGCAGTGCATGTACATCAGCTGTAACCACACAGACCTCAGTCACGTACTGCAGAGCCCCATTTCAGAAGAGAGGAGGACCAGCCAGAGGCTGGCAAGCCTGGAGAGACATTTCCAGCCAGGACTGCTTCCTTCCAGGCTGGGGGTGTATGCAAATCCTGCGCCCCACAGCTCACCCCCAGCGACCCAGGCGGGGGTGTTGAGGCCAGTGGCCACACCATCTATGTGCCTCCAACCAGCTGCTGCGAACCCTCCTCCGCAGCTGCCCTGTGAGTCACTTGCCACCCCATCAGCCAGTGCCCTTGACGCCCAGTGCAGGGAAAGGGCAGGGGATGGTGCCAAGCACCACCTGGAGAGGCTCGTCTCCATCCTTCTGACTGGCTGGCAGGACAAGGCACAGCCCATCCAGGCCAACAACCTCCTGCTTTGGAGAGCAGCGATGGCTTTCCTGGAGCTGCAAACCTCTTTGCTTAGGGGTCCACCAGCCAGGCCAGCTCAGTCACTCATCCTCTGGGGATGAGCAGCAGCCTGAGCTCTGCAGCTGCAGCCAGAGCTGTGTCCTAGCTGCCAGCCCCATGTGTCCCCAGCACTGAGCTCATGGTGCTGGCCAGATCCTCCTCAGCTCTGGGATTCAGGCTCCCCTGCTATTCTGAGCAGCAGTAGCAATACTACAAAGGAGGCAAGAGAAACTGCATCCCACCCATCCTCTATTGGCAACAGTGCAGCGGTGGGAGCCCTGGGCAGCAGAGATGGGTGCAGAGGGCAACTTTAGTCTCACGGTGCTAACTCCTGCCTTTCTGCTGCCCGCACGAGGGCAAGGGTAGGGGAAGCTGAGCAGGATGCTTGGATGGGGTGCTCAGGGATGGCTAGGTGAGGAGCACCCCTGCCATGCCTGGGGAGCTGCAGCATTGCTGGGAGGGGATGTAACCATGGTGGTGCTTTACCCTCTCCCCCCTGTTCACTAACCAAATAACATCCACAGACCACCCTGCTGCTCTCCAAAGCACTGGGCTTCACATCCATGTGCTATCACTCCCCAACACAAGCAGAGCTGGGGGGCAGGAAATAGCAGACTCACCTCAGAAACCCCAAACAAGCCAAAACCCCTGTGCAGGGGACACACCCCAGTATTAGCAACGGCTTTGAAGCTTCCCTGCACCCACTTTCCCTTGCCCATCTTCCTTCCCTGTCGCCTGCCCCAGTGTGGTACATTCACCTGTGCACGTGCCTCTGCAGCCACCTGCCCACCCTCCTCAGGCAAAACCAAGGGGACAGACACAAATATCTCTGCTCCCCCACCCAGCACAGCCCTTCCCACAGCGTCATCACCACCATTGCTCCCTCTTCCTTACTCCTCTCGCACTCCCTGCGTGTCCCCAGGGAGAGCATTGAGCCGGCCCCAAGCTGGTGGCAAGCTCTTGGTCCCCTGCTCGCCCCTGACACACCGGCCACTGTGGGTGGGACTGTCAGAGCCGCTCTTGTTGCTGCTTGGCCGAGGTCTCTTGGAGGACCAGCGATGGATTTCAGCATGCAAGGCCTGTTCAAGCCCAGGGCACGCCGAAACCCCTGATGGGCTCGGGACGGTGCAATGTATGTGATGTGGGTTCCTTGCAGAGCCCATGGCAGCTGGCACAGCACGTTGTTCCCATTTCCTCAACATGCCCCACTCCCCGGAGAGACCCTGGCACCCAGAAAATGATGCTGGGAGGGCTACTCAGACCTGCAGGTGAGCTGAAAACCTCTTTCCTTTCTTTTTTTTTAATTATTATCTTTATTATTTACGAGTTGCCCCAGCTGCTCGGTGCAGGTAGAAAGCTGCAGGAGCTACCAGCTCCAGAGACCTCTTGCCAGGAGTGGGGTTTTCTGCACCCCATGATTCAGAGCAGGACCCCAGCACAGGGGCTCCGGCACAGCTACTGCAGGCCACCCCCCGCCAGCCATCACCATGTCTGTGCACTAAGAGCCGTGCTTTAAACCAAAGCAATGCTTTGAATAAGGGTTGCTTTCTCCTGGGCTGCTGCCTGCCAGGGATGTGGCATGTGGCTGGGGACACAAGTCGCAGATGCTTGGCTAGCGCTGTTCCTGATCTGGGGTTACCTACCCTGCAGAGGGGAGACCTGGCCCCAGTGTCCACTTGGGATATTCTATCCCTTGGATAAAGTGTTTTTCCAGGTCTGCTAAGTCAGGGCAGGACAGGACGGTCCCTGCTGGCACCTCCTGGCCCAGGTGGCTCGGGTGCGCTGTCTAGGCGGAAGCTGCAGTGGGAACGCTTCCCTGCTCTCTAGTGATGGCCAGCCACACTGCATCCTTCACACACAACCTCAGCTTCTCCCTGCTGCGCTGCTGATGGACGCTGGAGAAGATGTGACGCTGCTTGTCCCAGGATGTGGCAGAAACCTGCTGCCGGCTCCCCTGCAAAAGGCGACCAGAGCCCAGCTGCCTCCTTGGTCCCAATTCCTGCCGGATTGCTGGCCGCGAGCGTTTCAGGTTCTCCACCCACCCAGACCCGCTCCCCTTTGCAATGCACCACAGCGTAGAGGGGAAGAAATGGGGTGTTGATTCACCTCCTTGGCAGAGCAGGTGCAAAACTACAGCCCAGCTTCGGCCTCGGCTCCCCTTCGTCACCCTTCGCGTGCGCTGAGCCACAGCCAGGGAGGGGCAGGTTTGGGGAGAAGGCTTCCCTCCCTGATGTCTCATCTGTGGCCTTTAAAGCCAGCCGGACCCTCCTCTCAGCCCCTGGCCGGCTCTCCCACCTCCTCCCATCGCTGCCTGTCCCCCAGGGGACACGGTTCCCGCTCAGCCCAGCCCTGGGCTCGAGAGGCAGCAGCAACTGGCAGCTGGGTGCTCTCGGGGGGCTCCTGGGGCAGCGCAAGCGCATGGCACCTGGGAGCTGCTGGCATGGCTGAGGATCACTTCCACTCGCGCTCCCCCTTGCTCATCTGTCGGACGCAGCCAGGCTGGTGTGAAACACCTGCCGAGGAGGAGCCGCGCGTGGCTCCGCACGGCTCGGAGCGGGCTGGCTGAGCCACGGCTGCAGCAGACACGCTGCAGGAGGATGTTTCCTACACACGTGCACAGCAGGATAGCCGCTTGCTCTCCCATCCCTGCCCAGGGGGACCTTCTTCTTAAATTGGCCTGTTCCTCTTCAGGCACCGATACCAGGGCCAGCGGTCCAGAGCAGCAGCTGGAGCGAGGGCTGTGCCCATGTGGGGCTGTATGTGAGAGTCCTGTGTGAGGCATGTACTGTTTTGGCTACTCAGCCCTAGACTGTAGGATGCTGTGACCATGGGAGTCATCTGAAATGCTGGCCTCACAGCTGTTTCCATGCTATAAAGTGTTCCCAGCCGAAATCTCCCTCTGCTCTGTCTCCAGCTCAGCTCCACCAAAGACAATGAGAAAATGCAGCCCAAGGGCGGGAGCTGAGTCTGGTAGGTCCCTCTAGGCAGCTGGGGCTACGAGACAGAGAGCTGGGGTGGGGGTAAATCACTGGTACCTTCCAGCCCCCAGTGCTGCTGGCACTGCAAGGGGCCGGCAAGAAGGCACGTGGGCTCTTTTTTTTGCACTGTGCTGGGATCACCACTGCCCCTTCCCTGACCCCAACCCCTCTCCGGTCACAGCACGCCAGACTGCGCTCCACTGCCTTGCCTGCATCTCCGTCGGGCTGCCTGCAGTCGCATCAGGACCAGGCTGTCCACGAGGAATGCATGGCACCCGGCAACCAGCTCCGAGCGCTGCAGGAGGCTGGCTGGTGCCTGGCACGGGGACAGGAGCATTGTCTGTGGGAAGAGGAAGGTGCCGAGCCTTTCCTCTCCCCTGCCCTGCTTCCCACAGCCTTGAGCCCAGAGGAAGGGAGAGAGAGGATGGGCGCAGGCAGCACAGCCTCCCCTAGCCCACACACCCGTGAAATGGCAGCGGGTGCAAATCACCTGCGTTCCTCCTCCTCCTCCTCTTCCCCTGACTCCCACCGCTGCTCCAGGGAGGATGAGCAGGCAAGAAGCCAGCAAGACAGCCCAGGAGCACCGGAGGGATCGGAGGCAATGAATTAAGCTGAATGGCATCCGTGAGTCACCGGCACGGGGAGCAGCGAGCGTGGCTGGCCAGCCGCAGCGGAGGCCCGGGAGGAGATGCTGAGCGGTGGACTCCTACTTCAGGGACGGTCTTCCCAGGTTTGATGGGAATGACCTGCTTTCAGAGCCACGCAGCAGGACCGCGGCACCAGAGGCTGCGCTGGCAGCTGAGCTCAGGCGCTAGGCAGGCTGGACTCAGCGGGGCTGCTGCAGAGATCGGTGTGACTCACACGTCTTTTCCCCTCCAAAAGCTGCCAGGTGCTACACAGGGCAGTGCTCCGGACTTGCCAAAGCTTGTTCTCATGGGGGACTCTCACAGCATCTCAAGGAGCACAGCTGCCCTGCCTCCTGCCCCAAGCCTTCCTTGCAGGTTCCCTTGCTGCTCCCTGGAGGTGGCCGTGTCTGGGCAACTCGGGAGTGATGGCAACTTTAGGCAGGAGACCTTGCAGTGACGGATACTGTCATTGCCGTGTTTCCAAGGCTCTCTCACAGGGCAGTCAAAAAAACCTGCTCTTTTTGGCAGTCAAAAAAACCTGTCCCTCTCTCACAACAGCTCCCCAGAAGTTGTGCCCTCAGCCTGGCTGGGCTCGTCCTGGGCTCCCTCACCACTGCTAGGGAAATCCCTCTGCGTTTCCCCGTGGCAAGGGGAAGGGAAAAGGGAGTGGAAGAAGGTGTGAGGGTCTGTGCAACGTGGGTGCCTGCTCCAGCCCTGGCACAAGCCCCAATGCCAGGGTGATGTGCTGGAGGAGTGCCTGTGCCCCACGAGCCCTCCCTGGGGCCTGCCTGGTCCCGGTCCAGCT